ATTTCATTCAAAATAAATAAATGCATTTTTACTTCAGTTTTATGACTTTTTCTTCTTTGACTTAGGCAACCATATTCTACCTGATGAAGATCTGGCTGCCTTTCACTGGAGTTTACTTGGTCCAGACCATCCTTTAGCCTCATTAAAGGTAAAGATGGTGGTGGTGGAGGTGCTGATATTAATGCCTACAGCTTATTGAATTTTCATTTTGTGATTGAAATACTGACATGTATTGAGGAATGCTGCCAGACTGAAGCTTTATTGAACAAGAATTACCTATCCTCAATACTGTCATTCAGGCAATAAATAGTTAAACTTTTTTAAAAAAAAATTTCAACCTCAACTTTTTTAAGCATCCTTTCTGTCATTTTTCTCCCCTGTTTCCTTCTGCACCCACTCCTGTGCAATGCATATTACCATCGATAAAATCATTCTTTAGTAATTCACTTCTGCCAAGATTTTTGACACTCGTCATTCCTCTGATGGGCAACTTGAAGGTAAACAAGAATGATTTGGAGTGATTCTCCGAATCTATCTCCATTTGGTCCCTTTCTGACATCACAGCCAGCCTTGTATATTCTGTGGCACTGTTTGTTGGTGTATCAAAAAAACTGCTGTAGTCTTATAAGAATCACAAGACAAGTCCCAATGAGGAAAACTGCTTAACTAATATCTATTCATCTATCAGGAAGACCCTACAGACTCCTTGTTACCATGTGCACTCATTTGACCCCCCCCAACTTTCTTTTTCCTACCTCTTCACCCCACCTCACAGACACATCATACGATTTAATTGTTGCTTTGCTGATTTCAGTGTTTTTGTTCCACACTTCTTTCCAGAAGTGTCTATGCATGTATTGATCACTTTGTGTTGAGCACTTTTTGAAAAGTGCTGGTATCTATTATTAACTAAGTCTTAACAATGCACACAGGAAATCATAGTATGATCTGACAAAGTCAGCATCGCTTCACAAAAGGGAAATTGTGCTTGACAAATTTATTTGAGCTTTTTGAGAATGCAATTAGTAGGACAGATAAAGGAGAACGTAGAAAATTAACATGCAGGGCCAGCATACAATTAGGAAGACAGATAGTTTGATAGCCTTAATTACAAGCATTTTGGGTACAAAAATAAAGTCTGCCATGATTGCACAGGGTTTTGATGAAACCGCACATTGCAGACTGTGCACAGTTTTGATGTCCATATTTAAGAAAGAACATGTCCTATCGTGAGTCGTTGAGTAAATTGTGTCTATATTCTCTGGAGTTTAGACGAATGAAATGTGATCTAATTGTAACATTTTTGATATTAAAGGGACTAACAGGGCAGGTGCACAGCCTCTGTATAAGGGGTCAATCATTTGGAAGTTAGAAGAGAATAAATTTCTCCGCACAGCGTTGTTAAAATTCTCTATCCACTGTGTTGTGAATGCTCCATCGTTAAAAATATTTAGGGATGAGATAGAGATATCTTTGACCTTGAGGATTAAGGAAAATGGTAAGGAAATGAAGTTGAAGCCAAAGATAAGCTATGATCACTATAAATGGCTGGCAGGCCTGACAGATCACATGGTTTCCCAAACCTTATGTTCTTTTTATTATTTCTCTTTATTATTTTCATTTAGTCCCTTGTCCTATTGTTAAGTTGTAAAATTAAATTATTTTCCATGTTCTGCTGCCTTCATATTCTGCTGTCTTAATTGTCTATCAAAATACGGGGTCATTTTTTTTATCACCATCTTTACAGCTGAAAAGCTAAGGTGTTTCTAGTCTTTAATCATACCCAGGTCATTTGAAGCCAAAGAGTACACCTTCTAATTCCTGAAACTTTCCCCTGAATTTCTCCTATTTTGATGTCTGGAATGAGATGAATATTTTGTTTCAATTCATTCAGGAAATGTGGGCTTTGTTGGCTGGGCCAGCATTTATTGCCTGTCCACCATTGCCCTTGAAAAGATGGCCATGAGCTGCCTCCTTGAACTTCTGAAGATTATTTGGTGTAGCTACACCCACAATGCTGTTTGGAAGGAAGTTTCAGGATTTTGACCCAGGAACAGTGAAGGAATGGCGGTATATTTCCAAGTTAGGATGATGAGTGGTTTGGAGGGGAACTTGCAGGATCTGACATCCCATGTATCTGCTGTCCAAGGAATCTTAGTGTAGATTTTAGTGTAGATGGTATACTGTGTGTTGGTGAAGGAGTGAATGTTTGTGGGTGGCACGAATCAAGCATATTGCTTTGTCCTGCATCAAAAGTCATGAATGTTGTTGGAGCTGCACTCATCTAGGCAAGTAGAGAGTATTCCATCATGCTCCTCGTTTGTACCTTGTAGATCATGGGCAGGCTTTGGTGAATTAGAAGGTGAGGATTCCTATCTCGGGATTCCTACCCCTGACCTGCTTTTGTAGCCTCGGTATTTAAATGGCTAGTCCAGTTCCATTTCTTGTCCATGGTAAAACACTCCCACCCCGGATATTGATTGTGGAGAATTCAGTGATGATAATGCCATTGAATGTCATGGCTAGATTCTGCCTTGTTGGAGATGGTCATTGCCCAGCATATGTGTGGCGTGAATGTTCCTTGCGACTTGTCAGCCCAGGCTGGATATTGTTCGGGTTATGCTGCATTTGGATATGGATAACTTCTGTATCTGGGGAGTTGCAAATGATGCTGAACATTGTGCAATCATCAGCGAATGTCACTTGAAGTTACGGTTGAAGTAGCTGAAGATAGTTACAAGTAGAGCAATACCCTGAGGAGCTGCTGCAGTGATATTCTGTGGCTGAAATCATTGACCTCCAACAACCATAACCGTATTCCATTCTGTTACGCTGCAACCAGTGGAGAATTTTTCTCCTGATTCCCTCTTGACTCTAGTTCTGCTGGACACCTTGGTGCCTGATTTAGTCAGGTGCAGCCTTGAAGTCAAGGTTAGTCACTCTGGAGTTGAGTTATTTTTCCACATTTCATACAAAGCAGTAATGAGGTCAGGAGCTGACTGGCCCAGGTGGAACTCAAACTGAGTGTCAGTGAATTGATTATTTCTAAGCAAGTGCTGCTTGATATGTTGTTGATAACATGCTCCACCACTTAGCTGATCGGAGTCAGTATGAGTGTACAGTGATGAGGTGGTAGTTGGCTGGGATTAATTTGTTCTGCTTTATGTATAGTGGACATAACCTGGGCAATTTTGCACATGTTCAGGTAGATGCTAGTGTTGTTGCTGTACTGGAACAGCTTGGCTAACAATGCAATAGGTTCTGGAGCACAAGTCTTCGGTGCTGTTGCCAAAACATTGTCGGGGCCCATATTCTTGATATTTTCTGATCAGATGCTCTCCAGTTGTATTATGACATGTGCTTTGTAGTCGTTAAGTATAGCATTAAGACAGTCAGTCGAACAGTAGTTGACTACAGTGTGTGGTAGCTTTTCAGCACATTGTGACACGTCTCTGGAGTAGGTAGGACTTGAACCAGCGCCGTAAAACGTTAAGTTTTTTTAAATATCTGGTAAATCCTCCCTTATGATTTCATCAGTGAAATATACTTAAATCAAAGTCCAAAGTAGAAAATTACTCGTTTAAATCTTGCCTGCATACACTCCGTTGTTCCAATCAAGAAAGCCTTAAAATGTTACAATACTTGAGTGATTATTAATGACAGAATATGTTTTCAATTAAGGACCAGCTTTTTACAAATTGAGGCTTTAGGCCATTTGAAATAATAAGAGATATTTAACTCGGGTCGCTCAAGTGGAAATGAAACGTCTCATAACACCATTCAAAGAGAAGCTGTAGTTCTTCTCCGGTATCTTGATTTACATTTATCTTTCAACCAACATCAGTAAATAGGTTACCTGGAAACAGATTTTCATTTATGGGACCTTGCTTATGCACAAATGGGCTGATGTGTTTCTCTACATCACAACAGTCACAGCATTTGTGTTTCGCCTCCTATGAAACACTTTGCAATGTATTGAGTTGTGAAACACACTATATTCATGCAAGTTCATTCCTTCCTACTCCATCTACATACTGCCAAGTTGACAACCAAGGACTCTATGCAGTCAAATGTCTTAACACATCTTGCGTGAGCTGCAGTTTTCTATATTCTGCACCCCAGGACTTCCCAGCTCAATTTTCACTTTAAGCATGCCTGTTCAAAACCACCATATCCAATCTATTCCTAAACAAACTTCTGATTACTAAATCAGAAAGACTATCTACATCTACCTGTGTAATATTGCCTATGTGTATCCCATCTCAGCATATTTATTGATAAAACTCTAAACTGTGCCTTTGTTACCTCCATACATGATCATCCTACCCTTCTCCACACTTACACATCCGCTTATCTGAAGTTTTACTGCTTACATTCTAACCGACAATGCTATTTTCTCATTACCAAATAATTTTCTTGACCTGCAGTTGTTTCCACTTCTGTCGCTTTCTTCATTGTGTTTTAGTTCCTTCATAGCTTCACCCCTGTCTACCTCTAATCTCTTCCAGCCCTACAATCCTCCCAGAGCTCTCAATCTCTCTAAAGACTTTGCATCCATTTCTTTTAGTATGTGAGCCCCAGCTATTCCCCAAATCTTTCTTCTCATCCTTTCGTTCTATTATTAAAATCTATTCCTTTGAACAACCCTTCCTAATATCTTCTGACTTGGCTATCTGTCTATTTATTTGAATCCATTTTCTATTAAGTATCTTTAAAGGTGTCTCTGTTAAAGGTGCTGTCAGAAATTCAACATGATAACATGCATTCATAATGACATGATAAGATGATGAATCAGACAGCAGGAAATATTTCAAATATTTCAATTCTGGGGTTTTTTTCAGGTACGCGCACACCAACTTGTTCTGCCACCGTGTGATGTAGTGATAAAAGCAGTCGCCGAATATGTTCGCAACATTCAGGATATTGGTGATTTGGATGCAGTTGCAAAAGATGTTTTTAAGCGTTCTCGGGTATGTAGCTAATGAAAAAGCAAACAAACATATTTTCTAACTTAGTAAATATTCAGTTTTTACTTTTTTCATCAGTTTCTTCCCTTCGCTGTACCTAATAATGTTGACTCACTTGGTGGGGTTTATTACCATGATTGATGGCTGTCCTTCCTGAAGTAGCCTTTATCTTTCAGAAGGCTATTTGGTTGCAGCATCTCAACGAAACTTAATTGTCTCACTAGAGGTTTTGTGTACATTCAAAACAAAGACCCCTGGATTGCACCCAGTGGCCATAAGTATTTTTCCAGGAGAGATTTCCATTGAATGGTATTCGGGAGTGGAAGCCCTGTGTTTTTTTTTTGTTCCAGTCTGACAGCCCATTTGCTGAGGCCACTTTTTCTTCTGTACCTGTAAAGGGCATGAATAACAATAAAACTATAAGACATAGGAGCAGAAGCAGGCCATTCAGCCTATTGTGTCTGGCAGTATCTGTGAAGGAAAAAACAGAATTAACGTTTCGGGTCCGGTGACCCGT